TATCCGTCGACGAAGTCATCTCCTACATCCAGCAATCGCTGAGCACGGCCAAGCTGTACATCGAGCAAGTGCATGAGGCGGACATGGCGGACGGGCAGACTAAGTTCAAGGTGTTGCAGTCAGAGCAGAATGATATCGCCCGCATTGGTCGGCAACAGCTGCACTTGGAGGACGCCGCTCTGAACGCCTCACCACACTTTGCCCTGGCTGAAGCTAAGATAGCGGCGGCTGGAGGAGGTGTGGATAGCATCGACGGAGAGATAGCGGGCATGCCGCGAAGAATAACGTGGAGCGGCATCGGTCGTGATTCTAAAGCAGTTCCCGGTTCGCCACCGCAAGAGGTAGTGCGGCAGCTTCAGAAAAGACATGACTCGTCCAGCCAGTCTATGAACGATCTGAGCAAGGATGACGGTATCGGGGCAAGCCGCGGTCGTCTAAGTGCCAATTCCACATCAGCTGGCGGTGGTGGTAGTGGCGGAGACCTGCGGTTACTCAATCTGAAAGGTCCCGCCGGTCCTAGACCACCGCCGCTCAGTTACTCCCCACCGTCCTCCCCACCACCCGCTCCACCCGCCGTCTTGTCACCAGCCAAATCCACCCCACTGCTGAGTCCTACTACTAGAAACATGCTGGCCAAACCCCAGAAGCCTCCTCGTTGTGGTGGCGTAAGTCCGGCACGGGAGCGGTACGAGCGCGATCTCAACTCGCCGGATTACTCTCCGCCCAGTCAGAAACACGCGGTGATAGGCAAGAGCGGCGAGTGTGTCGTGTCACCCGACACTCACACGGCTGCAGTGGACCCACTGCTCGGGAGCTTGTCCAATACCAATACCATCACGGGAGGAGGAGTGGAGCAGACACTACCGTCATCCAGCATAGCTGCTCAGTCTAGCCATGAGAAAACAGCTGCACATCGCCATCAGTCATCACACCCGCTCCAGACAGAGTCACATGCTCAAGTCACTAATGACATCACGGCACAATGCGGCGTCGTTCCAGGTGGTCTGTCGGAACGAAGCGGAAGTGTGAGTGTGACCACCACCTCACCACCAGCAACGGCTGCTAACTCTCCTCGCCCAGTGCCGAAACCTCGACGTCGTGGTACGGGCGGCATCAGTGCAGCTACCGCACCATGTACGGGTACAAGCAAGTGTTCAGGTAAGTACTCTTCTCCTGTTACTGCTATTTAAAGACATATTGTGTAGTTATAATATACTGTAAGATATGGACATGTATACTGTAAGATATGGACATGTATACTGTAAGATATGGACATGTATAACGAGGAAGTTAGTAGTACTGCCAGGATGAGCAGCTGCTTTCAGCTTCTTCATTAATGAATAATTTCACCTGATGAGGTCGGCCAGAGAGCACACGTGGTGGCGGTGGAATTATTAATTTGGGTAGTTTTACATTTAACGTGAAATCTCTTCGTTGGAATAAATTTCTTTAGGACCATAGTGCCTGATATGTGTCATGTGGCATTTGCCTGTTATTGAGTCCCAAATTGTTACCAGACCTTCTCATTAGACTACACGATTTTGTGTGTTCATGAACTTTTTTTAATGTCTTTCAGCAGAGTGCAATATTAATATTGTAAACTGGGAAACCTTTGCGATCCGGAATCCTTCTCATTTTTCGCAATGGGTGTAAAATCGCAAAAGCAAGCCGGTGTGAAACGCAGAACTGTAGTAAAGAAACCAAGGACATTGACTCCAATCGCGAACATCTCCAGGTGCAAATTTGTCTGTGTTCGCGAATCGTGAACCAAAACGGGTGCAACGGTTTCCGGGTTTGCTGTAGCTGACGTCTGTGAGTTGTCAGAGTTCTCTGTTGTGTACTGTACTGTCACATGCACATGCACATGTACTGTACTGGATGTATAGACATAGTCACATGCACGTACTACTGTTGTGGACATGGAAATCCGGTCGCACGTCTAGCGGCCCTAGGGCGCTGGCCATGCAGCCTTAGGTAAGCAGTGCGCACATGCATGCGCTGCTGGTCGCATCGGGTCAACATGTGCACTGCATGCAACGACGTTACGTTCTGTACGCGCTGAGCTGAGAGGGCGCCAGCCCCACGTCAATCGACTGGAGTTCCATGACCACGGCAGTAACAGTAGATGAACTGACATAGCCACATGCGGCTACGAGGGCTACGCAGCCCTAGCACCACACACACACACACACATACACACACACACACACACACACACACACCTTGGACCTTGGACCTTGGATGCGCTGCCATATTCTGGCTATGCGGACCCCATGGGGGGGGGGGGGGTTGAGCAGGTTCGGAACAGTAGGGGCGATGACGGGATAGGTCCTGTGGTCTACTGAAACGCCGACCGCAATTGCAAACGATGCAGTAGGAGCTACGGTCTGTGTTGGTTGCTCTGGCCGAGCCACGGCTGCACTTGTGACGTTTCATGCCTTGGCGCGATAGCACACAGCGGTTGCAGCGGGCGCAGTGGAAGCTGCAGCCACACACACACACACACACACACACACACACACACACACACACACACCTTGACCTTGACCTTGATACACGTTGCCTGGATAGGTTACACGGTCCCCGTCAGGGGAGAGGGGTGGAAGAGGCTGAGGAGCAGCACTCCTGATGGCGTACTAGATGGTGAAGTAGTTGGAACTTCCTTTGGCAAGGGCACTCAAACGGGAAGTCGGCCCTTTCCGACACTGTCCCTCGTTTCGTGCGGTCGCGCTTGTGTCTGGCCAAGCCGCTGCTGGACTTGAAACTCTGGTGACAGGTGCTGCACTGCGGAGTGATCGGGTTGCCGGGGTGCTCGATGTTGGGAGCACACACACGCACACACACGCACACGCATACACACACACACATACACACACACACACACATACTGTACTTGTTGCTCACTGCCAAAACTGGTCACGTGAGTCCCCCCGGGATTGGAGAGAGACTCAAAAGGAATCTTAGAAAGATGACTCAATTGGTTATTGAACCGCCCAACGGCCGACACCCCCTGAAATCCCCAAAACTCTGGGTGGACTTGAAAATGATCCCACTTATGGGCTCACCACACCTCAGTAAGTGGGTGAGGACAAGGTGCAGAAAAAGGATTGGCGGCATCAGGGTATCCGTCCCGGGATCCAACTGCAGTTACCCCTGCCCCCAGTGAAGGTAATACTTGCCACTAGTGTATGTGGCTAAATCAGAGTGGATCTGATATAAGCTTCACTAGCACCACTGATTACACAAGAGTTTATCTAGCCAGAAGCAATCCATGGTTAACAGGTATGTATACTTCAAATAGAAAGTATATGAACCCTGAAACCAACAAAGGTGGTAGGTACAACATTACACCTTCAAACAGCCGAGCCTGTTGGCAACAGACCCAACACAATCAGGCATAAGTGTACCTACCAGCCGAACTAGCTGACACACATACACACATACACACACACACACACACACACACACACACACACACACACACACACACACACACACCGCTCTACTCACGTGAGCGTGGTGCTATCTTATTCATGTAGTCGGATTTCTCTGCGTCAAGAACTGTAGATGCAGTGACAGTCATATCCGCAACATGTATGTGTGTAATCTGTGTGTATGTGTACTGTAACCTGTGTGTATGTTCGTGTGTGTGTGTGTATGTATGTGTGTATGTGTGTGTATGTGTGTGCGTGTGTGTGCATGTGTGTGCGTGTGTGTATGCGTGCGTGTGTGTGCGTGTGTGTGTGTGTGTGTGTGGCGTGTGTGTGCATGTGCATGCGGACACCCATGTGTACGCACCACAGACACGGGAAGAGATCAGACCCAAGCACGGAGCGGTGCAGAAGTGACAACAGGAGAGGACCGGAAGCGACAGCTTGTTGAACCGGAAATCTGTGATTCCACTAGCGACGCACTGGCCAATTTTGACGATGCGGGCAATCTGCCTGCATCGTCTCAATCTCGCCTTAAACCTGCTGTACCCATAAGAAGTGACAGTATTTCTGATGCCAGCACTGCGACCCAGCTAGCAGCTATGAAAGCCAGCGCTACCAAAAGCCAGAGAGCGAGACAACTTCCAATGGAGCCCGAACAGCCGGAAGACGAGCACCCATACGAGGATATTGAGTTTTCAACTGACGAAGCCGGTCACATTGCATCGCAAGCCCATAGCAACGACCTGATTGGGTCTGCACCATACCCGGGAAGTGTGTCAGCAATGAAAACATCACAATCAGCAGATGATCCTAGCTATGCTTGCGCAGCAACGGACACTGAACTTGCAAGCACCTTGACCCGTGACCCACCAGACGGTCAAGAGGCTGATACTGAACACATCGAAACCGGGCCGGCACAGCCGGAAGTTGATTATATAGATGAAGAACCCATATATGTCAATCTGGCAAGCTATCGGTTGCCGGAGATTGTGGATAGCACAGATGATGAGCTTCAGTAGGTGAATACTCGTCTCCACTTGTACTCGCTACATCTATATACGGATCAGGAAGCAAATTGTTCCCACTCCGACTTGAGTATTATGCAGCCGGCGTTTGAGAGAGAAACATCACCCGGTCCCTGCTGTATCATGCAATCATTGAAGTTACCTTGATGTCGTCAGTGTGGCTGTACACGCGTCTCTAGGTCCTAACGTACTGATGACACTACTATCACTAGTGCTGCTGATGGTGGACGGTGCATCTGTCAGTCAGCACAGTGCTTTTCCAGACTGCATGTGTTATAATTCTGGTCAAGTAATCCACCACCACCAGAGCTGCTGCGTGATCACATGGATCAACAGACGCGCATATACGCATGCTTATACACGCACTCACATGCACACACAAACACGTACACTTGCATAAATTCATATGCACACGCATGCACGTGCGTACGCACACACAAGCACACACACACGCGCGCGCGCACACACACACACACACACACGCATGCACGCACGCACCCCCCCCCCACACACACACTGTGTTTGTACATGTATACCAATGACCGGCTGTGGTAACACCAAACTTACACTTACAATGTGACGTCTGAAATATTTCAGTGCTGCAATAATTTTCTGCGGCTTTTTCCTCACTCCTAATTATAGTGTCTCCTTGCTGCTGGTCATGCACATCGCGTTGAGAACAGCTTTCCGGAACTTCTCTGATGTTCCTGAATCTTGCCTTCGGCATACATGTAATTGCTCTTCTGTGAAAAGCCTGGTGTGAAAATATCTATACTAATATAGATTGGTTTAGTCTGTGCATGCAGATGCACGTATGCCCCTTGTCCAAGTCAACGTTGTGTTTCTTGTCAGTCTGGAGGATGATGGTGGATAGGCCGATAGGCCAACATACTTATTTTGATTGATTTTTCCAAGTGCAGAAAAGAACCCACGCAGAGAGTACACATACCTCTCTTACTATGTGCGGACCTCCAGGTTACCATGGCTACTGGCACCTCAGTCTACGTACTCAGTACTGGGTACCCTGTCTGTGAGTTTTAGTGGAAATGTTACTACTCGTTTGCCTATTTTGTGGAAATAGTGACGTCACATGCCTAATGGGTGGGCACGTTCGATTACACACATTTCGGTCAATTCTAGAATGAATTATGGTGGATCCACCGTTCAATTACACAAATTCCGTCGTCGGAATCGACGATGAATTCTGAAGAGAGGGCGGAATTGATAATTCTCCCGCCAGAATTGAGGCACTCCACGTTCATGCCATGCTAGGTCAATGTGCGCGGCTGCGGGCGAGGGTGCACGGGCACTACGGGATCCCAGATAAACTGTTTACTACTAGTACTAGCTAGAGTAGATAAACAAGAGTGTGCAACTCCGGATCTCTCCTGCACAATCTGCAGATACCCCCGCCCACGGCGGAATTTTTTGCTGACGTCACCTTTTTTCAGAAGAACGCGCATTTTGCCGCAGAGCAGTGTGAGCGCATGTGCTGGGCACCGACCTTGCAGTGTAAAGCCGGCCAAGAGCACGAGGGAAAACTTTCCGAAAGATTCGCAGCGCGTGCGTCGTCGAAAAGATTACGTCAACAAAAAATTCCGCCGTGGGCCTACCCATCCGCGAGTTGCACACTCTTGTTTTTCTACTCTTGGTACTAGTACATGATTGTACTGTTTATCTACTCTTGGGGTACGTTCTTAAATCCTCTCGGAAAAGTTGGAGACTCTCCGAAAAGCTCAAGAGAGCAGTTCTTATATTATCCTCTCCGACTTTTCGGAGGCTCTTCAAAGTAGGGAGTAGTATAATACGGTATTGTACTACTCCCTGCTCCAAAGCTCTCCAAAGCTCTCCAAAGCTCTCCAAAGCTCTCCAAGGCTTCAGAGGTGGTTGAAACTTGGAGATTCCCGCGGTTTGGAGTCAGTGCATGCGAACTAGGCTAACACGTAAAAGCCATGTGTTGATCATGAGTGTACGCATTTCCCTTTTCACATATGCACAGTGCATACTACATCCGTGGCACTCAAGATTGCGGCCCCTTTGGCGCTTCATATTTCTTTACATGTGCAAAATATCTCCGAATTCATCAACGACGAGCAGACGCGACGTTGGTACGAGGACCGGAAGCCGCAAAAGCCCAATGTACAAGGCAGAACGCCAGCCGAACACGCAAGGCACTGATGCTTGTTGAATATCGGATGTCTTTATTGCACTCCACGAGCCGACCGGCAAGGGTCGCCAGGAATCGTGAGCACTCCGGCCCCGCCATCCCATATTCGTGGCGAACACAAGAGGGGCGAAAGAGCCTCTCTCGACTTCAGTGACCCTGGCACCGTACTGCTGCTTCTTTTTCCGTTCATGGGCCCTGAGTTGGTTAAGGACTTCTGGACCAGACAGCACAGACGCCTTAGGGTGGGTTACCCTAACATCAAAATAGGCGTCCTGCTGCATTGTCCAGAAGCCCCGGGCACGAATGTCCAGCCGAGCCTCATCAGTCCGGTTAGCCGTGGCATAGAGCAGATCCTCGCCAGACAGCGGCCAGAGACGTGGCTCAGTCTCGACATCGCGAACGGCTTCGGAGAGCATCTCCGCCAGGATGTTACGCACATTATCGTGTCGGGCAGATGGATCTAGCTACTTGACTTGCACTTGTTGCAGCATTACTACTGCACGGCACCGACATACGTTTGTTTCCCCTTCTTCTGTAGGTATGTGCAATGTGATAAAAAATACCCGCCGGCTGGGCAGGTTAACATTATGGTGGAGGCATGACCACAGACACAAGTAGATGGTATACCATGGTATACCTGGGAGCTGCAGCCCATACCGTATAGCAAGTGCGTCACGAAGGTTTTGAGTCACGTGTGACGATTACTATGGGAACAGCATAGATGCATGCTGGGTTCCGGGATGTCTTATCTACAGGACATCTCCAGGACTGGTCACCATGGTCACGGAAGAATCGGTTGTATGCGTTAGTACGGATGCAACAAATTTTCGTGCTCCGAGAATTACTCTCTGCAGCACTTCCCTGCCTTTTGGCAAGTTTTGCCTTTGACTTTGTATTCTATAGACTAACACAATGTCCCTCGATGAGAATGCAGACCTAGCTCTGTTTGGATATCAGGATCTGATCAACCTGGGTGAGCTGAAATCCATCGACCAAGCATCGAGTCTCTCTCGGCCTGAACTCGTCAAGCAACTCCGGGAAAAAGGCGTGGGAGTGCTGCCTCAGCCAGCCACTACACACGGTACGTCTGTTGTAGAAGACCAGCTTAAAGGGGAAGTTAAGGCAACGATCAAAATTTCACCAGTTGTAGTCTTCGGGGTGCTGAGTCGAATGGTCTTGGTCCGAGAAAGCTGAGACAGTCCCTTCCTACTTGAATCCCAATCGAACTCGCGCACTTCCACCGAAACTGGGTGACTGCGCCCTACGAGATGGGGATTTGTATGCAAAATGTCACTAAAAGCGCCATTTCGTTCTTATAAAAGCACGGATGACCGCGATTGGCCCATATGTTGTAGTCTTTTGGACGCTGAGTCGACTGGTTTTGGTCCGAAAAGGCTGCAATGCAGCGTTCCTCCTTTATTCCCAATCGAACATGGTTGAACAAGCGGTCATGTGCTCCTGGGTGCCCAAATCACCTGGTCACCACGCCAGCAGGCGACAACTTTCACACCAAGGTTCAACTCGAGTTCAACTCGAGTGACAGGACTGCACCCAAAAAAGGTCAAACAGGCTAGTAAGTAGTTGTACCCTGCAGGCACGGTGACCAGGTGACTGGTGTACGCAGGAGCACGTGACCGCTTGTTCAACCATGTTCGATTGGGAATAAAGGAGGAACGCTGCTTCGCAGCCTTTTCGGACCAAAACCAGTCGACTCAGGGTCCAAAAGACTACAACATATGGGCCAATCGCGGTCATCCGTGCTTTTATAAGAACGAAATGGCGCTTTTAGTGACATTTTGCATACAAATCCCCATCTATAATTGTAGTAGGGCGCAGTCACCCAGTTTCGGTGGAAGTGCGCGAGTTCGATTGCGATTTTATTGTTCTTTTCTTGTCTGCAATTTTCTCCTTTTTTCTTTTTTTTCTCTCCTTTTTTTCTCAAACAGGTTTGCATTTGCAGACATTTTTTTTCTTAGGGAAGGGGGTAATGTGGTAGTCATGCATTGTACATCACGGCTGTAGTACTGATGTGCACAGTCATGGCAACAGGGCATTGCGTAATGCTCTTGGCCATATGCTGCTGTTGAGCTGGTTTTACAGATGAAGAATCTGAGAGACACAATGGCTGGTTGTCTATTCTTTCCGTGTGCTTAGTATGGTTTCTTGCATGCCTACAATGATCGTAGTAATACGTGAAACTCAGAGTTGTAACAAAGCTTCCAATCTCTCTCTTGTGTATTATTATTATTATTATTATTATTATTATATTCCCTGGTTCGAGTCCTGGTGGTGACAGTCAATTTTTTCTTCAGACTTTTCCCGTTTGTCTCTTTCCCTCAAACTAGTGAAGATTTTATGACTTGGGGCTCCCCGCGTGCTAGAGTGTACGTGAAGTGTGTGGGTACAGTGAGGGCTGCGTCCCACCCGCCTGTGTGGATTCACAGGAAGTGTGAGTTACGAAGTCTGAAGAAAATGTTGAACAGTCTCTGCTTGGATGACGACTACACCATAGCTCAGTGGTTAGAGCAGGAAGGGAGCGTCTCAGCTTCCTCGGACCACGACCATTCGACTCAGCACCCCGAAGACTACAACTGGTGAAATTTTAATTTTTGCCTTAACTTCCCCTTTAATAGCCTTGCGGTATCCTTCGCATCCATGTCCGCGGAGTTTGTGTCCATGAAAGAGGATAGAGATGACACAATATTGTCCTTGAAACTAGAGGTTCAGGAATTCAAGCGAGAAATTAAAGAGCTTCGACAACAACACATTGCACACACATCCGTACCCGAGCCCAATATGGGAAGGAAGTCGTACAGTACTGTAACATCAGGAACCGTTCCCACAACCACACACGTGTACAGTCTGCAAATTCAGGTCCGAATATAGATCATCCACCTATTGCATCAATGCAGAGAAGTCCAATGTACACAAGCCCATCCGCACATCAAGGGTACAGCAGCTCCACAAACTAATGTCGGTCTTCACCCCGTTGAGCGCTCATGCTTTCCCGTTTTCCCGGACCACGCACATTCTATTAACATTGTAACTATCAACTGTCGCTCTGTAAAAAACAAACTTCCGGAATTGCACGCAATATGTCATGCCAACAAGCCCACCATAATATATTATGTTTAACAGAAACCTGGCTAAGCCCGTCACTTTTATTCAGTGTTCCAGGCTACACATGCTTCCGTAAAGACAGATCTACACATAAGAACCTGAGATCAAACCTACGTGGCTATGGTGGCGTGGCCATTCTCATACGTGATGGGACATTTTCACATTGCACCCGTCGCCATGACCTTGATTCTCCCCAAAGCGAGGCCTTATGGATTGAGCTTGGTGCACCTGCAGGTCTCCGGGCCAATCCGCTACTCATTTGCTGTCATTACCGCCCCCCTTCACAATCCCTTCTTGATCTCACCTCCTTTTGCGACATACTTACCGACACGCTGTGTTCCTTGGACCTCTCTTTATTTGATGTTTTTCTAACCGGTGACTACAATGCCCACAATTCTGACTGGTGGAGTTGTGACACCACATCGCGTGCTGGTACGGAGCTATCACACGTGTTCTCTAGCTTTGGCCTCCAGCAGCTTGTCAATTTCCCCACCCGTGTCGCTCCGAATAGAAGACTGTCCTGTCTGGACTTGCTTGCTACGAACCGCCCCTCTCTGTACGCTCTGTTGACGATGCTGCCCCGCTTGCTGCATCGGATCATTTGCAAGTCATTACAACGCTAGCCTACA